GCTGGTCCGGCTGCTTTTCACGGGCGAAACGTTACGGCTGCGGCATCGACCTCGGGACCCCGATCGGAGGATTTGCAGGGATTTAGAGGCAATTTGAAGCTCTCAAAGTTTGAGAGCGAATTGCAGAGTCGGTGGCCGGTGTCTCCCTGCCTTCCCGCGAGCCCCACGCGCCCCAGCCCGCTCCCTCTCCACCAGCCCGAATAAAACCTTCGCTTTGACCAGCGCTGCGTCACCGCCGGCCATCCCGCCTCGCGGCTGCGCCCTTCGCGGCGTCGCGTGTGAATTTATCCCTTTTCTTCCTTTTTTTGGTAGTTCTGAAGGACGCCGGGCCGTCGCCTGGAAGGAGCCGATGCGATGGAAGGAGGTCAGCCCCCTCTGACCGCAGGTAAGCGTCCCGGGACAGCTTTGCCAGGCTGCTCGTGCCGTATAATCCTTGGCGAGACCTGGCCCGGGGCCACCGCGTGCCCCGTCCAGCTAAGCCTGGCTCAGCCAGGTCGGGACCAGCCTTGCTCACCTTCTTCTCTCTCCCGGTTTGAAGAAGAAGAGCTGACAACCCCCTTCCTGAAGAAGGCTCACACCCCACCTCTCCATGAGGACGCCAACACCGTGGTCATCGCAGGTAGGGGCTCTCCTTGCCGGATCCACCCCATTTTTACTGAGGAGCAGCTCGGTCCCCACCGCTCGGGGCTAAACCCTGCTCCTCTGCTTTCTCCCTGGTAGTTGTCATCACCCTGGTGTTCCTGACGCTGCTGACGGTCCTGGTGGTGATCATCATCTACCTGTACAGAAACAAAGGCAGCTACCTCACCTACGAGCAGCCGGCGGCCGAGACCGACGTGTCGGTGCAGATGGAGGATGCTCCATCCAAAGAGAAAGAGGAGTATTTCATCTAAGCCACCGGGTCCAGCGCCGCACCGATGCACTCGGGTCCAAGCTGCCTAAATTTCCTGGAGTTGGGAATCTGCACGCTGCTTTGTTGTTGGTTTGGGTTGGTTTTGGGGTTTTTTTTTTCCTTAATTTATTAAGCCAACCATGGAAGGAAAAATAAATAGGTGCGTGTCAGAGCTTTGCCCATCGCCGCCCGGAGCAGACCGAGGGCAGGGAGCACTTCAGGACAAGAAGCTTCGCCTGCCCGCGCCCACCACATCTCCTCCCTCCGGTGTTTTCTAATACAGCCCAGTGACAAACGCTTGAAGAATCGCCGTTGTTTTCTTTTTCCTTATCTCACAAAACAATTAAGTTATTCTGCTGCTGATTTAGGGGTGGGGGTAATTAGCATGGCTAATTTGGAGGCTAAGGTTAAGCATGCATGTAAAACAGGCTGATGGGTCGCGCAAGTTACAGAAAGCCCCATTGTAGCCTCCAAACGCGGGGAGGCTCGTCCCTGCCCCGAGAGGCGCCTGATCTCGGCGGGCTCGGGGAAATCGGAAGCGGAGCAGGTTTGCTCCATCCACAGCGAAGGCTTTAGCACCGACACGCAGGCTCACGTAGGCGCAGGCACTAGTTTTCCTCTGCTTTTGCTATGCACAAGGACGGGGCGAGGAGCAGCTCCAGACATCCCTCCTCTGCTCCCTTCTGAAGGGCAGTTCCTCCTTCAAATCAAACCCCCCAAAAAAGAAAACAAAAAAACCCCAAAGGAGGAAGTTACAAAACAGCAGCGAAGAGGAAGAGGAAATAAGTGAAGAAACCCGAAGGCTTGCGATGGGCAGGAGCCAAGGGGTTTTATTTGAGGTCCAATGCAAATTTGCTACTTTATTCAAATTTTCAAAATAGTCTTTATTCTACTTTTTTTTTAGTATAAAAAAATCCACAAGTTAAGTGCACCACAGTGTATACAGAGAGAGACGTAATGCTGAACTTTCATAACAGTCAGTTGTATGGTTAAACACAACATATACAAGACACAGATTTAGATTAAACTGAAACCTCAAGATAAAATATATTTGAATCTGATATTTTTCTCCATAAAACAAAACAAAAAAAAAAAACATTGAGGATCCCTGAAATATTCTTCTTAACCCTAATAAGACTTCATTATACCCAAGTCATTTTTAAAGTATGCATTCATAGAACAACCCATTAACCGAGCTAATTTGTGTGTTGATTGACGGTTGCTACACACCCTTGTACAAGATGGTAACCAGCCTCTCTGTTTGAACAACAGCCTTAAGGAGTTTTGGTGTCAAGACACCAGGATGAATTTAAAAAAAAAAAAAGAAAAAGAAAAAAAAAAGTTGTTTGTTTATTAAGCATCGTCCTAAAAGCCTAGTTAGCATCGAATGAAATGTTCAAACATGAGTTGCATTGTGTTTCTGGCACCAAAGCATGGCTTTGATTAGATCTAATGTGCAAAGAAATCCAAGATTACTTGGAGTGTATAAAAAAAATCCCATGATACACACCAGCTGCATACCTTCCTGGAGGGAAACGACGGGCAAATGTGAGCACGGAGTGCTTCCAGGGATCCGTTCTAGAGTGAGGTCAGGAAGAAAGAAGCGCCAAGGTGCCCTCCCTGCTCCTGGGAAGTGAAGTTTGCCTCGCTTTTCTATCCAGCGCCTTCGCTGGGGAAACCCGGCTGGTCTGTGGCTCTGGGTCCGGCGGACGGGCACGACCGCAAAGGGAAGGCGAAACTGGCTCTGCTCTCTCGCCCTCCCCAAAGCCAGTCTACAGGTATGAATAAAAGCTCAGCGCTGCGGTATTACTCCAGCGAAATGAAAGGAAGAGGCAGGGCTGCTGAGCTCGCATTCATTGCGCGAATTAATCCCCCCCTCCCCATTTTAACAGAGGCACTGCTATCATTAACAGGGTTTCTTGTCTCGCTTGAACGCACCTGCAGGGCCGGGCACCAAACCAGGAAGACACCTCACCGCTGCGTGTCTAATCGGCAACTTCAGGTTAATATGGACTAAAGCAGTTACATCGTGAGAAGTGCTGACAGTATGTGATGTCTTTCCTTACACAAATGTAGCCCCCCCTCTCCCCCCTTCCCCTTCCTTCTTCACCAGATAGTGTAGCCACCGTCTGAGCCTCCCAGGAAGAAGTTGCCCTTCCGTTGCGTCACCAAGACGTTGGCTCCCTGCATTACAGCCAGCTGGGCGGCATTGGGGGGACAGCCAGGAGCGGGGGGCTGGAAGACAGAGACAGGAGAGGCAGGAGGATTAGCTGAGGTCAGTGCCATGCCGGCAGCTGAGACAAAGCCACCGTGGGCTGCAGGGACCCAGAAACCTCCCAGTCGATGTCCCTGTCGCTCGCTACCGAGCGAAGACTGAGACACAAGAGTCCGGGAGCTGCGGGGAAACGCTCAGTTCCTCGTCCGTGCCCTGCCCTCTCTTTTCAGAGCCCGCAGCCCAGACGCTGAACCTGGCTTTCTGCCCACGCAGAGGAGCCTGTGAGCTGTGGAACAAGATCTTCACGTGGGAAAGTCCAGGGGAGCAGGAACCTCCCATAGCTCCACCGTAGCGTGGAAAGAGGCCAAGCCCACATTTGGGGCTAGGGAAAGTCAGGTCGTTAAGCAGCCCTACTGGCTTGCCTCCCTGCAAAGTGCATTACACCATGGCCCCCAGGCCAAATCAGGGCTAGTACTGGCCACACGATGGTTTTGATGAGCCAGAACCACCCGCAAGCCTACGTGGCTCCAGAGCCACAGATTGGCCAGAGACAGCAAACCCTCAGCATGAAAGTAGGAGCCTACTCTTGTCCCAAATGATAGATCGGGTAAGAAATATGTTTTTCTCAGAAAACAAAGGACATCATCTCCCTGACTACCGTCTGCAAACCTGCAGCACCGAAGCACGCAGGGGTTTTGAGGATACGTCTATACTTACAGGGATGCTGGCTGTTCCACCAGGCCCAAACCTCGCTCCAGCATCAAAGCCACCTTCAACAAGCACTGTCGAGCCCGGAGGATACACTGGTCCCACGGGATAATACGCCATCGGGACCGACGAGCCGATCGGACCCACGGCCACAGACTGGGCCATGGGCACGAAGACGGAAGCGCCCGGATACGCCGCAGACATCGTAGGTACGGTGGCAGCCCCCAGAGGCACGAAGCTGGGACGGTAAAGCTGGAAAAAAAGCCATGCAAGCGAGTTTAGAGACTCGTCACTCCCCACGCCCAGTTGTTTATTCAGCTTTGCTGTCAAAGCACTTCGCCCCGACATAGACTTTCACCCTCCTGCTTGCACACGGGAATCCCCTTCCCTGCGTGTTTACTTCGGGGCACGGTAAAAGGACATTTTTCCTGCTGTTAGAGACAGTTTTCCCCCACTGCCTGCAAGAATTCAACTAAGAGAGATTATCGCAGATGGGTTTTACAGCTACAGGCGAGCTAAATTTGTCATCTTAACTCAAGGGGAAGCTTTGAACATTTGCCATTTTGAATGGATGCTTCAGATCTCATAAAACAGAATCTGGGAAGCGACCGCTGCCCAGCGATACCAGCAGCTTACAAATCCTCCAGGGGAAAAAAAAAAAAAAAAAAAAAGGTTGCAGCTATAAAGTTATTCAGAGATTTATTTATTTCTTCTTTGGGAGGAGCACCAGAGGAAAATAAAACCTTGAGAGAAGCGTCCCACTTACCTCGGAATAAGCCGGAGGTGCATCTGTGTAGGGCGGCGGCTGCGGAAGGGGCATAGTCTGTGGGTAGACGGCGGGGTTGGCGGGGGACTGGACGGGGTAGGACGGCTGGGTGGG